TGGATCTGCTGACATCTCTATAAACTTCTCTCTCTCTCTCTTTTTTTTGCATCTATAGTACTGATCACTTTCTTCCTCCCTTCACTATTTCTGTGCATTTGTCTGGTGCTCTCTTTAATCAGTAGTCAGCACCACATGTACTGCTTTCAGTCTTGCAGAACATGTTACAATTAGAGTTAATAGTAATTCAGGCCTCTTTTCCAAAAGATTGGTTTGAGGACAGTCATATCAGAAGACATTGCTTTTCTTATAATTTACATTTGGCAGATGCTTTTATCCAAAGTGACTGAGATATCAGTTTGTGCTTTCACTGGGAATCAAACCCATGACCTTCATGTTGCAAGTGCCATGCTCTACTGTTTGAGGTTTATATAGTAGCTCTTAACAACATGAAAAAAAGTATATATATATATAATTGTATTACGTATGAATGAATAAACAAAAAGCTAAGCATATGTATTTCCTCAATGTAATGACATGATGTTGATGCATGATGTCTGAACAAAAAACACTGACTAATAAGTCACTGAAAGTCTAGTGTAACGCGCATCGTGGCGCGAGTGCAACCCTTCCTCTCAAACAGTGAACAACGGAAATGAGCAAGAAGGGAGTGCACTGTTTCTAGATTTGGACCAGTGACCAGAAGATTAGACTCGCTCAAGAGACAGTGTCAACAAGGGGAAAGGCAATGGCGACAACACTGGCTGCGTTAGAAACAGGTAAGATGTATTTGGGAAAAAAAATTATGAATACAAATAAAATAAAGCATTGAAATTTAAAACATCACAACATGACACAAAAGAAAAGTAATGGCAAAAATTAGAATAAAGACTTGCTCCAAACAAATTAAATTTTACCTTATTGTAACCCCTTATATATATTTATATTTTCTATTTAGTTTTGTGACTATTATTGATTGTTTACCTCTTTTTTGACCTATTTAGATTCAAGCTAATAAAGTTAATTGACCCTTACTTGGCTAATATGTGTATAACATTTCTTTTCACCTATTTATTCAATTTGTTTCTAATTGGCTTATTTGATGTAAGAATAACTTTAAATTTGAATACAATTCTTCCAAATGATAACCCTTTGAAATACCTTTTTCCACCCTCGTTTTCCAGAAAAAGAAATATTTATATATATAACCAAATAATTAGATTAAATAAAATACAGTAGAATTTAAAAGTAAAAAAAAACAATAGAAAAATGAAAATCACAACAAATCAAATTAGCTGCCCACAATAGCAGACTCAATGTGAATTAGGAATCCACTAAATCTCAGTTCCAGTTCAATGCTGCTTACACGAGATCCTTCTTCCGCAATTGAATTTCTGAGCAACACAGTTCAGTCAGAAAAGGAGGAAAACATACACACAATCCTACCACTCGGTTGATTCCTTGATCCACAAAGCTCGGTCCTTATATGGGCATGGCTCGCCAGTTCCTGCACACAATGACGGCTTTAATGCGAAGCAGGGACAGTTCAAGTTCAAAATCTTCCTCAGAAATCGGTTAGTGTCCAGGAAACGTGCAGCATCCGACTCAGGAAATTATGAAAAAAAAGACTTCCTTGTTTTCTCTTTACAGATATTAATAAAATAAAATACTGTTTTACACAATCATGAATGTTGTCGTTTTTTTTTCAGCAACAGGGTTTCTAGTAATCTGGGTTACACCAGGCAAAAGTTTCAGACAAATCCGCTGTGCTATGTATGCATTAGGTTATGAATATAAATAATGTTTTATGACATTCATCCTAACCGATCTGCTGAAAGGTCAGACATTGGTAGGTGAGTGCTAGCCATCATGGGGTTACTACGTACTGCTTGCGTTTTAATTTTGCACACTGGCCAAGCAACTGGTTTGCAGAAGCTTTTGCTAGGGTTGACGCTGTACATGGCCAATTACAATTTTTTTTTCCTTCAATGAAATACCGCTTAAAATATGAGTGCATGAGGTGCTATCCCCCAGTCAATACTGTTTATTTGCAGCAGGAAGGCTGCAGGAATATTATTAATTGTGCTAACACAAAGAAGAGTGGGGATTTAATTCTCAATAAGCTTGATATGCATGTTTTCAGAACTAGTCCTACACTACACTGTCCGCCACAGCAAACCACGTCTAAACGCCACACGAGAACATGTTCTATGAATGTTGCTTTTGGCAAAATGTGACTGCTGACACTGTGAAGCTGTCATGATGATTTTCTTCCCATCCATCGGCCTTGCGTAGGTCTCACACCTGACCGTTTTTTTTACCAGCTGTGATTGACGCTTCTGCCTCCTGGAGACACCTAGGGATCATGGCACCTCGTGCCATGAAGATGAAGATAGCTAGTGAGAAACTGTAGCTTTAATCCTCAGGCCTTGGCTCAGCCTATGAGATCTGTCTCAGACTGGCCTCTGTCATGTCAGCGCAGTAACGAGATCCTGAGTGACTTAAGTCCTCTGGTGATGTCAGACCTGAAGCTAAAGAACTGTGTCTTGCTGATTGTCTCAGTGATCTTTGGCCATCGTAGCAGAAATCCAGCATTCTGCTGAGACAGAAGACTGGAGCTGATGTATTCAAATGTCTCCTGCATTCTTTCACTCATTACTTATTCTGTTATATGTAGGAGCTCTTTTTCTCTTTGTTATAAGTCATATTTAGGGTTGTCAAATACAGTAATTTGTTTGCATTATCCACACTGAATAGTGCTTTAAATATACACGATTAAATAATGTACATCAGTTCCACATGAATCAATGAATAACATAATTTTCCCACTCAGTTTAGTTTAATAATTATTTGTAAGAAAGCACAATTTATTTCACATACTGTATATCAACATAATCAACATGATGGAATATCATTAATATAAAATTATCAACAATTTTCAGCAGCCATTACTTCAGTCTTTAGTGTCACATGATTCTTCAGAAATCATTCTAATATGCTGATTCAATTCTTATTATTATCAATGTTGAAAACAGTTGTGCTGCTAAATATCTTTGTGTATCGCTCTGTGTGTGTGTACACCTTTTTGAATTTCATTATGCAATTAAAAACCTAACACACACTACCATGCTAAATAACAAGTGCTCACTGATTAAAGCAACAAATAACACGCAGTGCTCTTTGTACCTGCCCTCAACCTAAGCAAAATCTCCACTCTTCACCACAATGGAAATAATATAAACCAAACCGAAACTGTTCTATATCCCAACATGACAAGACATGCACTAATCATGTCTCCCCTTTTGTCATCTTGCAATTTTCACATTTTAACTCAATTTAAAAAATTTTCCCCATCAAGTCCCGTGCAAGCCATGCTGGGAACTACAAATCCCCAGCTTAGTTTCAGTTTATATATTTAAGTGAATTGCATGCAGTTAAATTAAGTTGTAACAAAAAGATCTAGAATTATTACATTAGCTCATTTTAATTATGTAAATAGAACAACCTGCAGAAATCTTTTCTCAGTGCAGTGCAGAATGTGGGATTCAGTGGATATAGAGGATGTAGTTTACAGTGCAACAAAGTCTGTAAACGTAAAGCAATTACTAGTTTAAAAGCATATTCTCAAAAGCTCAAAGCTTGATGATATGAATGAGGAAATTTAATGATCTGTTTACTCTTGTCTTACAGATGTTCATAGTGCCGCACCGTCTTTTGATTTAGTGAGCACTCTCCCACTCACAGAGGCACATGCATCTTACTTTAATCAAGAACGTCTTCTCCATTCTCCCTCCCCATCCTCCTCATCTCAGCAACTCTCACTCTGTTTTTCCCTACAACTCAAATTAACTGCAGAAATATAATCAGTTTTCTGACAGATTATATACTTTATGGGTGATGATGGGTTAGGTAGATATTTGAAAAATTGAGCATTCAAAGCAAAGCTCAATAGACCGTGTAAAAGCTCTTAGTGAGAGGGATTCAATAGTCAGACACTCTGACGAGGGGAAACCAAGGAGTCGTTTAATGCAAGATTTCTGCTCTCTGAACCCAACCCTTGTATGTCTTTATTGGTAGTGCTGCTTGAGCGGTAAATTGAGACTCCAGCTCAGTGAATTTTTGGTATTATCATATGGTTGGCTACATTATGTTTTGTTTACAAATGAGCACAGCTTGCAGATCGAATAAAGAATATGTGTTTTTTAACCAACCCAAATAAAGCTCTCAGATTCAGGTAACAGGATATTAATGGGAAGAACTATTATGACTGCAAAAGGATATAGTTTACAGCAGATCTACCAGAAATTTGTTTGATGACAAAACAAACACCTCATTGTTAGTTTCCTTGCATTTTGGCTGCAAACTGATTAATTTAGCATATATTTTTAATTACAAATTTTAAAAGCTAGATAAAAAAAATTGTAGTAGCAAGAAAGCTGTCTAAAACTAAAACATATTAACCTAAAACCCAACTTTTGGTTTCAAACTGCAATGTTACGTGGTTGCATGTAGCTTGGGTGAGTCTGTGTTTCTGCTCAGCCGTCACCAGAGGGCTTGAAGACACAGGTTCCACAGATTAAG